GTCAACCATAAACTCCCTGGGGGCAAAGGCCGGCCTTCTTGTACACTGAGAAGCACTGGGAGCATTGAGGAACGGTCCAGGGCTATTTTTGGGCAGGAACGCACAGGAATGGAGTTCTGGCTGGCTCCCAAGTTGGCCACGCCCAGCAGGAACTCATTAGCATAATAGGCCACACCCAACAGCAGAAACTCATTCGGATTGGCTACAATTAGGGGTGTGTGGCCTAACATGCAAAAAGCCCTGGGTTTTGACAACAAACAAGGTAAAGGGAATAAGAAGCAAAAGGTGGGTGTGGCTGGATAGCCACACTTCTGGTAACATGGGGTGTGTGGCCTAATATGCAAACGAGCTGTGCTGCCAGGGATGTGGCCTAATATGCTAATGAGTTCCTGCTGTTGGGTGTGGCCTATTATGCTAATGAGTTCCTGCTGGGCTTTTTCTACAAAAAGAGCCCCGGAGGAACCCAAACGGAACCACTGGGATGCAGCCATTTGAGAGTCGGATTAGGACAGGGGAGATCCAAATCCAAGTCCCGATTCAGCCATAAGAAGGGTTGCCAGTTCTGGGCTGGGAAATGCTTGGGGATTCGAGGGAGGGGTACAGCCCGGGGAGGGCGGCGTTTGGGGAGGCGAGGGACCTCTGTGGGAGAATAATTCCATACGGTCCCCCTTCCAAAGCAGCCATTCTCTTCAGGAGAACGGATTCTATCAGACTGGTTGCAATCCCAGGACGTCTCCACTGCCACCACCTGGGGGTTGGCAACCCTAGGCATGAGGCTTGGCCCAATCGCTCTCAGTCTAAACGGCTTTGAATTATTGCTGTTAGGACAAAAGTTGTGTGTGTGGGGCGAACCTTGTATGCTACCCTGAGATCCTTGGTAAGACAGGGGGATAATAGTGAGACATATGATAATATCATGGGACCTGTAAGGAGCTCTTGGGGGAGGGGGAATGAAATTCCCTTCCCTCACTGGTCCCTGAATCATAGAACCACAGAGCTGGAAGGGGCCAGCTCAGTTCAGGATCAGCCTAGAGCAGTGGTGGCGAACCTATGGCACGGGTGCCAGAGGTGGCACTCAGAGCCCTCTCTGTGGGCACGCGTGCCATCGCCCCAGCCAGGCCCAGACCATCATTAAAGTGTCGAATTCTCTGCCAAATAATTTTAAGTCAATGAAAGCATTTGGGATTGCTTTCCTTACTTTGTTTGGATCATCTTAAGTTAATGTATGAGTTGTTTTTTTCTAAAGTACAACCTCAGTATTCAGGTTAAATTGCCGTGTTGGCACTTTGGGATCAATAAAGTGGGTTTTGGGTCGCAGTTTGGGCACTCGGTCTCTAAAAGGTTCGCCATCACTGGCCTAGAGCATCCCTGACAAGTGTTTGTCCAGCTGCTGCTTAAAGACTGCCAGGGAGGGGGAGCTCACCACCTCCCGAGGCAGCCAATCCCACTGTTGCACAACTCTGACTGTAATCCCCCCCCCCAATATCCAGCTGGTGCATTCCCGCCCTTGATTCAAACCCATTATTTCGAGTCCTCTCCAGTGTTACCTCCAAGCTGAGCTCGTGTGAGCTAGTTCACAGTTTTTTCAGCCTCCAACTCACACTTTTTTGTCTCGGCTCAGGAAGGAGGGCTCCAGAGCCAATTAAGTCACACAGGAGCCGAATCGCTCACTCACAACTTTAATGCCCGTAGCTCACAACGTAGAATTTTTGCTCACAGGACTCCACAGCTCAGAGGGAGCATTGGTCCTCTCCTCTGCTGCCAACAAAAACCGCTCCCTGCCTTCCTCTAAGTGACAGCCCTTCGGATACTTAAAGACAGCTATAGTGTCCCTCCTCAACCTACTCTTCTCCAAACGAAACATTCCCAACTCCCTCAGGCTTGGTCTCCAGGTCCCCGATCATCCTCGTCGCTCTTCTCTGCACGCGCTCCCTGCTTCCTCTCTCTGCCACCACTTCCTCCTTCTCCTTCCTTCCCACCGGTGCCTCCTTGCTCCTTCTCCACTGCCTCTCTCCTCCATAGCCACCTTCCCTTCCTTGCCCTCCTGCAGTGGCTGCCTCCTCCACCTTCCCTGCTTATCACCTCGCTCGCTCCCTCCCCCGACTCTCCTGCCTCCTTTCTCTCACCCTCCCTTCAGCGGCTCCTTAACTTTTTCCTTGAAGTGCCCGTTTATTAGGGGTTGCTAGGCAACCCCACAAAAACCGACTGTGGTCGCTCAAGATTTTGATCTGCACTTTTTTTTGCAAATTGCTATACTCACGGAGGTGCACATACAGCGTCTTTGTTGTGTGCGTGTACGTGCGTTTGAGAGTTTTCTACAGACCTAGGGGGTTCTTGCATCTGTCCCTGGCCCTACTGTGCAGATCTTTTAATTCACACACTGGGGCAGATTCAGAATTCGATATATAGTACAAGCAGATGGGGTCTGTATCCATGAGGCCCTTAATGCAAAGGCAAGAGATGGCCAGACTGTTCTCGACCCTCAATTAGATTCCGAAGAACAAAGCAGCCCCGGAGAATACAGAAGTCAGTTTACTGCAACCTAAAATAACCACAGCTGGCGAGACAGGAGCCAGATAAATGCATGTATTATAGATGTGGGGGTGAATCGGTTCAAATCTCTTCTGTTCCACATGGCCACTAGGCAGTTTTAAGCGAGCCACTCACTCTTATCTTTAAAATGGGGCGAATGATGGTAGCTTACCCTTCCAATGTGGATGGTTTGTTCAATCTGTTCTGTGATTTTAAGAATGCATAGGCCACGCAGTAGTTTTGAATTTTGTGTATTTCCTTATTCATGTACATTGCTGTAACTGATCTTGTCCTGGTCACAAACCGTATTCATAAATTTGATTTCATTACCTTCCAATGTTGCTGTAAAATATTGCATGCACAGCGCATGGAATATTAATCAGAGAACACAAGAGACGTCAATGCTGGATCAGGCCAGTGGCCCATCCAGTCCAACGCTCTGTCACATAGTGGCCAAAAATACCAGGTAGGACAAGGAAGAAAAAAGGGGAAAAGACTGAACCTAAACCTAGAATTCAGAACCTAAAAAGGTTAGTCAAGAATAGAAGAGGGCCAACTCTAAAAATCTAATTATGAAACATACAAAAATATACATGTATTTATTCAACATTAGCCCTTGTATGTTTTTATATTTGTATATGAGGTAGGAATGGGCCCTTGTTTGTTATTTTAATTTATGTTGAATAAATACATGTATATTTTTGTATGTTTCATAATTAGATTTTTAGAGTTGGCCCTCTTCTATTCTTGACTAACCTTTTTAGGTTCAAAAATACCAGGTGCCATCAGGAGGAGGTCCACACTGCAAATAACTACCAAGTGTTATTTGGGAACTGGACCTGCTGATTCTTCTGACTGCCCAGGAATATAAGAAACAGGTACGTGGTTCAAGCACCGGGCAGGTCAGAATTCATTCGGAAAAAGGGGCTACTTTTGTCTGGGTGTGTTGGGGAAAGCATGTTATGAGGAATGAATAGAGAGCTGCCTTTCTAGTCTGTTCCAGTCCCTTCCTCCTGCCACCGCCATTGCTTTCCCAGCCTCAGCTGTCTCCCGTTATCATCCGATGCTCCCCGACTCTCTTACCTGTTGAAAGGGAAAGACTCCAGGGTGATACGGCGGGAATGTCCTGTACGGATACATGTCGGAGAGGGGGCGTGGCTTACCTTCTGCAAGCAAGAAAAAGAAGAGAAAAGGCATGGACTGTTTCCCCCTTTAAAAGCGACCTCTCTCACAGTGGTTTCTCTGTCTCCAGCCCTCCTATCGACTCCCCCTTTACGAGTCAGCTGTTTGACAAGCCAGAATTTCACGAACGCCACCTCTGCAGCCATGCAGAGATATGCCTGCTTCAAGGAGTATGAAAGAGCTGTGCTCCCTTCCTGTGGGTGTGAATGTGTGTCAGAAAGGAATGTGTGTGCTCAGCGGGAGGCCACTGAGCCCCCCCCCCCTCTGTATTAGGCACTACAGATCTGGCTCCTCCTCCTTACCATAGAGATCCCTTCAGGACTGGCTTCACAGACAGACCACTCAGCACTGAGAGCTCCTTATTGGAAGGGCTTTAATGAAGGCCCAGAGGAGTTCTTCCAATCATGCACCGCTCCACTGCTGGAGTTAGGGAGTGGTAGTGAAAGGAAAGGGCTGAGCATAGCTCAGAATGGAGCGAATCCTTACGAATTTGGACAAATGGACCCATCGAAGCTGCACTATACGGGGTCAGGCCTGTATTGTTATATTGTTAAATGATTGTTTTACGTTGTTTTAACTGTCTGTTACGGCATTTGCCTCTGTTGTAAGCCGTCCTGAGCCCATTGGGGAGGGCGGGGTATAAATCTAATAAATAAATAAATAAATATTGCCTACTCAGACTGACAGCGGCTCTCCAGGGTCTCAGGTGAAGGTCTTTCGCATCACCTGCTACCTGACACTTTGAGCGGGAGATGCCGGGGATTGAACCTGGGACCTTCTGCATGCCAAGCCGGTGCTCTGCCACTGAGCCACAGCCCCTCCCCAGTTCCTCGCCCGCAGTGGGCAACCTCCCGTCCTTGTGCTCCTTTCTCCACAGTTACTCTGAGGAGCAGGGAGAGAAACGATGGGTGGGGAAACAACATGGACGCTGTTGTGACGTCACTTCCAGGCGAGAAGCCAGAAGTGACGTCACAGGGCCCGTACCGCTCTAGGAACGTCCCCAAATTTCTGTAGCCTTTACCGTACAGATGATGGGAACTGCAGTGCTAGAGTGTCACGTAGCACCTGGAAGCAACGTCGCGGTAATGACACACGCGCACACCCCCGGCTCTAACCTCCAAACACTGCTGGGGTTGCCAGCGCAGGAGGACAACCCTGGGCTTAAACGATACAATCTCATTATTTCTGTACAGGGGGAGCCATGTTGGAAGCATTAAGAAGTAGCCCCTCCTCAGAGGAGAGTGGGACGAATACCTGAGGGTCTGTGCTGAGACCGCATATTCACCCTTGAGCCAGGAGTTTCATCGCCAGGCCCTTCTTCTCCCTTGAAGAGTAAATCAAGAATGTGAGCGGAGACCGGCCAACACTCAAGACCCCACAACGGAGTATTCACCCCAAGAACTGACAGGGAACCGCTGGCATAGTGTGCGAACAGCCTCGACACAAAGGCATGACCGTCTGTCCCAGATTCCTGGCCTCTCTGGCTGGCGTCAAAGGCCGTCCTCCTGCAAAGGGCTGTCACAAGAGGTGCCATTTCTAATCCTGTCTCAAAAGTGCGGCCGCCATCTTGGATTCGATCAAACACGAGCCCTACTGCTCCTACACTTCCGCAGAACAGCTCAAGAGGCCCTCCTTGCCGCCATGGTTCCCAGGAGCCCAGTCGGAAGCCATTTCAGAGCCGGGCTCCTCAGCCACCTTTCACTTGGATTTCCTAGGGAGATGCCATCCAGTCCCTCAGACCAGCCGGCTCCGTTTTGGTTTCTTTGGTCTTGACGTGAATCGAAACTACAAATCGGTATCGTCATGCCACTGTCCTCCTGCGTCACGCCACAAATCCCCGTTAAGATTGCGGAATCTGTCAACTTTACTTTAGCATCCATTCTGTCTTGTAGCTACAGCGGGGGGGGGGGGGTGTTGGGGGCCCCCCCCCTTCCTTAAAGGCCCAGCCCCCGCTTCTTCTCAAAAGTATTTGAAGGGATCCTTTAAAGGCTCTTCAGCTTTGAAACGGAGATGAGCACCGCAACCCTAGAGTCGGACTCGACTGGCTTTCGAGCAAGGGAACCTTTACCTTTACCAGCTGGAGGTGGAAAATAATAGCAGGGCCCCCCCCCCGAAAAATGTTTCCCCCGCAAGCTGCATCCATTGCACACGGGGTTGCCAGCTCTGGGGCGGGAAATTCCCAGAGATCTCAGGGCAGAGCCTGAGAACAGGGATCTGGGGAAGGGGGGGGGACCTCAGCAGCCACGGAGTCCACCCTCTTTCTACAGGAGGACGAATCTCTACAATCCGGGGATCAGCTGTAATTCTGGGGAATCACCAGCCCCCCCCTCCCGGAGGTTGCCAACCCGTACCAAAAGAGCAAACAAAACCAGCAACGCCCAGCAATGAAAGCTGGCGAGACAATAATGGAGGCGCGACTGCTAACCAGCACTTCCGCATAAGCATCACCAGACTGGAGTCCGGCAGCCCTTCCTCACGCTCTGCGAAGGATTTGCAAGCCACCTCGTAAGACTTAGCAATAGCTTGACTTTGGAACAGGCCCGTAGCCGGGATTTTTAAAGTCAGGGGGCACCGGCTAATCGAATTAATCCAGGGGAGACGCCCTGGGCTGGATGGGGAGTCAGGGGGCCTTGCCAGCGAGTCAGGGGGGCCTAGCCCCGATATGCCCCACTGTAGCGACAAGCCTGCTCTGGGAACTATGATATATAACTGAAGAAAAGAACCTGCCATGGAGGTTCGTTGTTTGTTTTGTCACTGTGCAAAAACCAGAAAAGGGGGGTGGGGGCGATATGTACAAACATAATTTTCTTCTGCCCTGACCTGAATGGCCCAGGCGAGCCTGATCTCGTCAGATCTCGGAAGCTAAGCAGGGTTGGTCCTGGTAAGTACTTGGATGGGAGACCACTGGGTCCCTACTAAGGAAGTCCAAGGTCGCTACGCAGAGGCAGGCAATGGCAAAACACCTCTGAACGTCTCTTGCCGTGAAGAGCCTGTGGGGTCACCATACCGTAAGTAAAGGTAAAGGTTCCTTTGCTTGAAAGCCAGTCGAATCCGACTCTAGGGTTGCGGTGCTCATCTCTGTTTCCAAGCCGAAGAGCCAGCGCTGTCCGAAGACGTTTCCGTGGTCATGTGGCTGGCATGACTAAACACCGAGGCGCACGGAACGCTGTTCCCTTCCCACCGAAGCGGTGCCTATTTATCTACTTGCAATGTCTTGCTTTCGAACTGCTAGGTTAGCAGGAGCTGGAACTAGAGACGGGAGCTCACTCTGTCGTGCGGCACACTCGGGTCTCGAACTGCTGAACTACCGACCTTCCACAGCCTGCAGTTCAGCGTCTTAACCACTTGAGCCACTGCAGTTCCCACCATACCATAACTTGGATGCAATTTGAAGGTACTTTCTACCACCAGTTTTCTACCCACAGCACTCTTAACTGGCAGTGTTTCCCCAGAGTCCCTGGCTTGCCCTCGGTCTCCTGTGTTCTTCGCTCTGAGCTCTTAAACGGCCCCTTGGCGCTCAGCCGCACAAAGTTGATAACTGTTTCCTTACTCTCATAGGAGTCATACTAGAACTCCGGTGAAAGAGCGGGGACGATTTGGACGCTTGGCTCGTCTTCAGACCACTTCCAGTAGGTGAGGCCGCTGAAAAACAGTCAAAAGGAGGGCATCCAATCACTTTTGCAGAGGGAAAGTCACCTCGTGGTAAGATCTCCCCATTGGGCTCCCCCCCCCCCCCCCCCACATTTATTTGCTTAATGTGTCTGTCTTTATGAATCTATTTAGTGCAACGATATTATGGCTCACAGCATTCAGAAAACTTCCAAAACACTGATAAAAAGCAGAATATATATATATATTTTTTAAATAAGCAGCAGTTAAAAATAAGGACAAAGCCATTATAATACCACTTTATCAATTCAACTCACTGTTTTGTATGGACGGGGATTCCTGCAAGTGCATAGTCTCAAAATGGTCCTCTAGTCCAATGGATTGCGATGCCAGGGAACGTACACTTTTGCGTTTTAAACTGTTGGAAGTGCTTTCCTCAGATGTCAGACTGGAGTCAAGTCGAGTTCCCCTTGGTGGAGAACTGTCCATCTGCATCTTTGGGGAAGAAAACGAGAAATCAGTCTAAATACTGAAGTGGACGGGAGACCATCCGAGCAGGGCTCTTTTTGTAGCAGGGACTCCTTTGCATATTAGGCCGCACCCTCCTAATGAAGCCAATCCTCCAAGAGCTTACAGAGCTCTTCTTACAGGAGCTACTGCAAGCTCTTGGAGGACTGGCTACATTAGGGGTGTGTCACTTAATATGCAAATGAGTACCTCCTACAAAAAGAGCTGAAAGATGGCGAGGTGTGGCAGGAACAGGGTTGGACAAAGAGGGGAAGAGACCTGGTTTCAAATATCCCGCTCGGCCAGAAAGATCCTTGAGTGACCTTGGGTCAGCCACGAAGCCTAACTTTCCTCACAGAAACCCACCACAATCCCGTGGACCACAGTTCATACCAGCAGCAGAGTTTGTGACCACATGCTTCAGATGTCAAGCGTCAACTGCGGGGCTGTGGTAATGACTCCGACTTACATGCTGGGCCTCCTTAACGTTCCACCACATCCCTAGTGGCCAGCATGGGCAAAACAGTATTTTGCATGAACTGCGGACGCGTCAGGGAAAGCCCACGTGACTGCTAAAGCCACGGCCTTGAATGTGACAATCTTCGCAGGAAGCATGATTACCAAGGCTGGGTGGAGAAGTCCCTGGAGATTTGGGGGCGGAGCCTAGGGAGGTCAGGGCTCAGGGAGATGAAAGACCTCAGCGGTGAATAACACCGTTGAGTCCACCCTCCAAAGCACCTATCTTCTCAAGGGGAAGCGATCTCTGCAGTCTGGAGATCAGTTTTAATTCCAAGAGATCTCCAGGCCCCACCTGGAGGCTGGCCACTCTATTGAGAAGCCTGAAACGCAAAATGGCGGCATTCTTCCCTCAAGACAGAAGAGAAGTCTGTACTCGCATCGATGGCACCTGGTACTTTTGGCCACTGTGTGACACAGTGAGGAATTTCAGACAGACGATATAATCTGGAAGAGGAACGGTTCCCAAACGGTTTCTGGTCTGTCATTTCAGACAGAACCATTTTAGAACCGGTTCCCTACCGGAATATATTTCTAATTTGAGACACAAACGCTTCTGTCCCATTTAGGAAATGGGGCTGAAGCGTTTTACCTGTCAACCACTTCCAAGTAGTCTTTAGTTTCCTCTCCCGGTTCCGATGCGCTTTTTCCCACCGGTTTTCACCCATACGGGCGATCTCCAGCTTTTTTTTAAAAAACGTTTGCTTTAGAGCGTTATAGCGCTATAACGGAATAGCATTATATCAATCCCATTGGAATGCCTGGAGTGTTTTGTTATAGTGCTATAGCGCTATAGCGCTCTAAAGCGAATGTTAAAAAAAAAAGCCAGAGATCGCCCACATGGGCGAAAAGCGGTGCAGTCTGCTTCAGATCCAGCTCTTTACCGGAAGGGGAAAGCCATGTGTGAAATGTCAGCCCTATACCGGTTTACTCCATGACGGATCAAAAATGGCTTCAAAACGGGTTAAAAAGGGTAATGTGAAATTCCTCAGAGTGTTGGACTGGATGGGCCATTGGCCTGATCCAACATTGGCTTCTCTTAGGTTCTTATGTTCTTAAGTCCCTTTGTTTTTGTATTATGTAGGGCTGCCGTGATCCACTTTGAGACCCCCCCTGGTAACGCATCCTCCTGGGGCCCCCTCTCAATACAGACTCGACCCCGACATCCTGTGAAAGTCAATCTCTTGACTCGCAGTCACCGCGCTCATGAATAGGTTGTCTCTCTGCATACCATGAATGTTTCCCCCTCTTCCACCCCTTCCGTTTACTTCTCCCATTTTCCCCAAGGTACTCCCGCCCCAGTGCACGGCCCTCCCCCTTCTCTCCTCACAACAACCCTGTAAGGAAGGTTAGACACAGCGTGGCTAACTCAAGGTCCTGCCACCATGTCCCCGTCCTCTCAATAAACGGGAGGCTGGATTCATCAGAAAGTGGTCAGGCAGTCCAGAAGCGGGAGGAGGTTGTTACAGACGCCACCTGGGACTTTTAAAATCTGGTTTTTTAAAAATGGGCTCTTCTGCTTTTGTTAATTCTGAATTTCTCATGTTTCGTCTATTCGTTTTGTGGCTTTGTGCCTCTGTTGTACATCGCCCAGAGCCTGGCGCAAACGAGGACAGGGTGATTAATACATCAAATAAATAAAAATAGTGATAAAATAATATCAGGCCTTCGATTAAGGAGCCGCACTATACACCGAGGAGTGTCCCTGTGCCTTGGCTTTACCATCCTTATTCCAGCCTGTGCTTGGCTTACCACCTTAAAGGTAAAGGTTCCCTTGCTCGAAAGCCAGTTGAGTCCGACTCTAGGGTTGCGGTGCTCATCTCCGTTTCAAAGTCGAAGAGCCAGCGCTGTCTGAAGACGTTTCCGCGGTCATGTGGCCGGCATGACTAAACACCAAGGCACACGGAACGCTGTTCCCTTCCCACCAAAGTGGTACCTATTTATCTACTTGCAATTTCTTGCTTTCGAACTGCTAGGTTGGCAGGAGCTGGAACGAGAGACGGGAGCTCACTCCGTCATGCGGCACACTCGGGTCTCAAACTGCTGAACTACCGACCTTCCACAGCCTGCAGTTCAGCGTCTTAACCACTTGAGCCACCGCAGCTCTTTACCTTACCGACTTAACTTACTCAGTCCTTACCGACGCATAATACTTAGAGAACTGAGCTAGTGTGACCATCACGGGAATATGCGGTTGCCTAAGCCGTTTTATAAATAATCTCGCTCTCGCTCACTAACTCTGTTCCAATGTTTTACTAATACATTTTAGGAGGATTATTTATACTAAGTTTATGATTATACATGTGTTTATGCGAGCCGCCCTGATCCTGCCTTGGCGGGGAGGGCAGGATATAAACCAAATTAAATAAATACCACTGTGCAACCGTGGCGTCTGGCCCAGGGTGACCACGACCCATGGAACGTTGGCCCTCCTTTCAGCCTGCTACAGCAACCCTGTACCAAGAACTGCATTATCCGGCATTTCAATGGGGACAGATGTACAGCAAGGTCTACCTTATCACGATGTTGAACGACAGCGCTACCACATTGAAGAGGATTCGCTCTGGTGGAGTTGGGTCACTTACATGGGTTCAAACCAGAGCAGGTGCGTGGCTAAATGTATAGTAAAATGGTTGTATGCCTCAGTGCTGGTGAGGGACCAAGGGGGAAAAGACGATACCTTTCTTGAGATTCTAGGCCGAGCGCCCCTAGAGCATTTCTGCCACCTGCTGGCCGCCTGCAGAATCACCATCAAAATGTCACACACTTCCTTCCCCTTACCAAAATATCTTGGACTAAGCGCACAGCCGCCACAATCTGCTGCTTGTAACAGGAGTAGATTTCCTCTGTCTCATGACTGCAGTCTGAAGGGAGGAGAAATGGGAAATAAGAATTAGGCAAGCGTACATCTGTTTCCCTGTACAGCCCTCAAACTTTTAACAAACGGGTGTTTTTATACCAGGAGGAACAAATGTTCCGTATTGCTTTATTTCCTCAGCATTTAAAGTGGCATCGTGCACATGTCACGCAGATTTTGTACAACGGCTTTGGTTCTCTGCTTTTCATAGATTTCTTTGTACCGCAAACACATGTTGTGCTGTTTGTGGATGGCCTTTATACGAGCTGTATGTAGAACGCGCAGCATGCAAAGACCCCCATAATGACTCAACCCGAAGGGAAATCTGAGCGAAAGGGACCCAAAGGAGAAGCCGGACGTGTGGGGCTCTGTCCCAAGACTGGTTTCCAGTGGACCCACTCCTGAAACTAGGGCTGCCATTCCTTCACTGGTGGAAAGGGATCTGCTGCTGCCAGCAGGCACTTCCCTGATGCCGCTCAGTTGGTGGTGGTGGGGGAAAAAAGGCAGGAAATGGGGAGGCGGGACCATCAGCAGCATCCCATCGTGCTGACCTCACTTCCTGTGCACCCAGAAGTGACATCAGTGCTGCACTGGGGACCAGTGTTCCCTCCAAGCTGAGTGAGTGTGAGCTAGCTCACCGTTTTTTGAGCCTCTGGCTCACACATTTTTTGTCTTAGCTCAGGACAGATGGCTCCAGATTAAGAAGAAGAAGAGATTGGATTTATACTCCGCCCTTCACTTGGAGTCTCAGAGCGGCTTACAAATTCCTTTCCCTTCCCCTCCCCACAACAGACACCCTGTGAGGTAAAAGAAGAAGAAGAGGAGATTGGATGTATACCCCACCCTTCACTACCCAAAGGTGTCTCAGAGCGGCTTACAAACTCCTTTCCCTTCCCCTCCCCACAACAGACACCCTGTGAGGCGGGTGGGGCTGAGAGAGCCCTGACAGAAAGTGCTCTTTTTTCAAGAACAGCTCTGACAGAACTACGGCTTGCCCAAGGTCATCCAGCCAGGTGCAAGTGGAGGAGTGGGAAATCCAACCCGGTTCTCTCAGATTAGAGTCCGCGCACTTAACCACGACACACAAACTGGCTCTCCTAATTATGCAGTAACCAAATCACTCACCACTTTAACGCCAGTCGCTCACAAAATAGAATGTTTGCTCAGAAGACCCCGCAGCTTAGAGGGAGCATTGGTTGAGGACTCTCTGGCATCCTTGGGGCTGCACTGTCGCCACTCCCAGGTGTCCAGCAAATGCCGTCAGTGCGTGGAGGGTGATGTCATTATGTAGCCAGCGAGGGCCCCGCTGCTCTTAAACCCTCCCAACTGGTTGTCGGGTCCTGCTCGTAGCTCAAAGTACTAACGAAAAGAAGGCAGCCTTCGAACACGTGTCAAGCAGCTGTTCCCTCTAAGCTGAGTGAGTGTGAGCTAGGTCACAGTTTTTTAGCCTCCGGCTCACACATTTTAGTCTCCGCTCAGGAAGGAGGGGCTCCAGAGCAAACTCATTGACGCAGCAGCCAAATCGCTCACTCATGACTTTAATGCCAGTGGCTCACAAGGTAGAATGTTTGCTCACAAGACTCCACAGCTTAGAGGGAGCGTTGGTGTCAAGCAGCTTGCCTCCATCAGCCAACGTTTCATATAGGGTTGCCAAGTCCATCTTCCACCCTCAGCGGGGGACTTTGGGGGCGTTCCTGGAGGGGGCGGGGCATCCCCAATGTGATGACGTCACGTTGGGGACGTCCGCCGCCCCCCTCCCCACCCGCCTGTGCGCAGGATTTCCAGAAACGGCAGTTCCCTGCACTTAAAGGAGCCGGCGTGTCCTTTTGGATGCAGGAGCTGGCGTTTCCCCTTTAAGAACAGCCGCGTTTCCCTTTTAAGAGCTAGAAGGATTTCCAGAAACGGCAGTTCCCTGCACTTGAAGGAGCAGGCGTTTGTCTTTTGGATGCAGGAGCCGACGTTTCCCCTTTCAGAACAGCCGCGTTTCCCTTTTGAGAGCTAGAAGCTGGCATTTCCCTGCAAGCTTGCGGAGATTTGGCTTGGGAGGAAACACAGGTTCCACACACTTAGGGGGAGAGAGATGGGTGGCTTAGGGTTGCCAAATGGTACTTACCTCCTCAGCGGGGGACTCCTGGGTACCTCCTGGTGTGCGCACGCAAAAGCGCGCACGCGCCATATCTACGTCACCCGGATGTGACGTCGCACGCTGGGGGAGGGGCCACAGCCATTTGAGGGGGAAACTCTATGTTTTCCCCTCAAATGGCTGTG